AAAAAAAGAGCATTATACTAAAAACAAATTTGAAACTATGACTTGAATATTATACTAATCTTTCTAGCATCAAAATACTTTTTTCATGTGCATGGAAACTTACAATGCCATGAATCAAACAATTATTAGTCTCCCTTTTCTCTGAGTCATTCTCATCTTTCACTTTGTGTTGCCCTTCATCTTGAGTATCAAAACTGGACAGTACAATACCACAGTTTTACAATTTACGACATTCGTTAATACCCTTTGTTTCCTCTAATCCTTGCTCTCATATCAATCTGATAAGAATGAAAAGAAGAAGAAAAATAGCTGTTTAGTTTCAATATCATTACTGAACTGAAGCTTGCACATTAATACTGTAACATAAAAGCTATTCATTTTCTTCATCAAATACATGCATTTATACAATTGATTCTATTGGCTCTACTAACTAAATATTTGAAGTCCCAACTAGTTTGGCTGATGAGCTAAACAACATTGAAGAAATTTTAAGTAGAAGGTTCAGGTTTGAACCCTGAAAACCATAAACTCGATAACATCCTTGATCGTATCCAAGCTTTTCTTAGCCAAACCCCTTGGTAAGCAAAAATATGCTGTAGAAATGAATTCAGCCTCTTGGTTTAATAAAGTTACCACCAGTTGCTTTTTCAATGTGTAGTCTTTCGATCATCCACATCCACTGCATAGTCACTAATCACTATCGGAGTATCCAGTCAAACTTGCCCCTTTACTCTTTTTGTAAAATATTCCATGATCCAAGGTTTATCATCTTACATCATTTCTTGATAACTTGCATCCTAGGATAATTGGATTGCTCACTGTGTTACTCTTTTCAAAACATAACCTTTCCAAGACATCCTTCACATATTTTTGTTGACCAATGAATAATCTACCAATTATTTTGAGCCACTTCTAGTGCTACGAAATGTCTCATTCTACCTAGATCTGTCATATCAAACTCCTTCATTGATATGTATAATGTGCCTAAATACTTGACGGACTAACAATTCCAAGCCTCCTCAGGTGCAGTGCGGCGTCCTTTACCACTATAGCATTTATATTATACAAAATTCTTCAGGAACCTCTTTTTCTAACAACATACCTCTAACCACAATCATTGCAGTTCCATTCTCCTTTCTGTTATTTAATTCTACTATGGACTGTATGTCACGGGGAGTTGTCTTTTAATGCCATAAGTTCTGCAAAATACATCAAATACCGAGGAGGTGTACTCTCCACCCGTCTATTCCAAGGAAGTATAACCTTGAACTTCTTTAAAATATCAAAGGCAGCATATTATTCTGGCAGAAAGTAAAGCTATGTTTTTGTACTTCAGTTATCAAAAAAGGTGATGAAATACCTCTTATTTTCCATTTCATTAAGGTTTGATGGGTCCACAAATGTCAGAATGAACAAGCTCAAGTCTCTAAGAAGCTTTCGAATAACTCAATCTCCTTCTGTGAAGAAATTTTCAAGCCTTTAATGTTGATATGACCATATCTCTAGAGTCACAATTGAGCGTTGTCCACACCACATCCATTATTTGCAAACATGAGAGAATATCAGGTGCAATAATGGTATTCAATCTTTTAACAGATATATTGCAAGAAATAAGGCCTCTTTCAGAATGATAGACCTTATGCATATCTGGCTGAAACACAACAGTCAGTCCCTTCTGCTGAAGCTGACCAGCATTCAAGAGGCTATTTTACAACTAAGGGATGTAAAATGCATCAGCAATGACCCGAATAAGTCCCTTAATTTCCAGTTTAATATTCCTCCCCACATGACTGTCAGCTTTGAATTTTCTCCCAGCTTCCCAAACTCGTTGAACCTCTCATGATAAATAAACCACTTGTTTCCCTCAATTGTGGTATTTGTAGCCTCCGTAGATGTCATGAGCATCATCTCTCCTTTTCATCAAATTTTGCATAGTTGGCACTCACTTCCCCACTAGGACATTGGTATTGGTTATGCCCCAATTTGTTGCATTTATAACATTCCACCAACTCCTTGTTAAAGGGTTGTCTTCCTCTACCTATTCCCATACGACCCCTGCATCCTCCCCCTGCCACATGACTGTCAGCTTTGAATTTTCTCCCAGCTTCCCAAACTCGTTGAATCTCTCATGATAAATAAACCACTTGTTTCCCTCAATTGTGGTATTTGTAGCCTCCGTAGATGTCATGAGCATCATCTCCTCTTCATCGAATTTTGCATAGTTGGCACTCACTTCCCCACTAGGACATTGGTATTGGTTATGCCCCAATTTGTTGCATTTATAACATTCCACCAACTCCTTGTTAAAGGGTTGTCTTCCTCTACCTATTCCCATATGACCCCTGCATCCTCCCCCTGCCCCATCTAGTAGGGGTGTGCAAAATAACCGGTAACCATTAACCAAATTACTATCCAAATAAGTCAAAATTTAAAAGCACAACCCAAAGTTATGTGTATAAACTGGTGGCCCATTTTACAAATTAAAAAAAAAAACGGTACCCATTGTTTCAAACCGGATCAAGTATGGGTCACCATTATACTATACTCCCAAATTTCAGAAACATACGCAAAAATCTCATAAACCCTAATTCTTCAAAAATCTCAATCTTCTTCGAGTCTACAAAAAATTCCCAACAAATCGTTCTTCAAAAATGTCTCCATGTTCTTCAAAAATCCCAATCTTCTTCTAATCTTCAAAAAAATTTCCAACGAATTTGTCCTTTAACATCCACTAGCTTACTTCTCACAACCAGGTGAAATTCTACTTAGAACTTTTAGTTTACACAAATTAGAAGTTTTTTAAATTATGGGTTTATCTAATTAACCGTAAAATCGATGAAATTTCAGGTTCAAGAGAAAGCTCTACCAACATTTTCACTTCCATTGATATTCAGGTAGATCTGTGTTTTTGTGTTTCCACTAAATTGTTGGTCATTTATTGATAGTCTAATATTCACTGTCATTTGTAAGTGCTTTGAATGCTGCATCCATGAAGGGAATTTACGTAGTTTTAATCCTTTTTTTCCAGCTCTTGTATTATTTCCAACTTATATTGTTCCAGTTATGGTTATCAGCTTTTATTTAGAGTTTATCCTGTTCCTGAATGTTCTAGTGTTTAATCATATGAAACTAAAGTTATTAAGTGTTGCATAGAGTAGTGGAAAGAGAAGATGACAAGCTTTGTGTGTTGCTCAAGTGATTAAGTGTTTATGATACCAATAGAAGAAAAGCTAGGTCATCAGATTGGAGTCAACAGTTTGGTTAGAGAAAAGGGACATATGTTAGTTGATCCAAAAGTTTAGGGAACAAAACTAAAAAAAAGATATGCTAAGTGCAATCATTACTCTTGAAACAACATAATGGCATCAACCCTTTTGGCTTCAACTGCAATTATGTTGAGTTCTCTTATTGCTGTGTTGATGAGTAGTAAAAATGAAGAAAGAGGTGTTGTATCTATTGTAAAATATAATGAAATTTTATCAAAGGCACATCTTATTATAGGAGTTGAGTTTAGACACAAATGTAGGGACTTAGGTACCATCAATTAACTGGATAACTTGTGATGCACCCAAATGAAGATCCATCCATTATTCATTTAGTTTAAAATTTGATTCCTTGATGGAGAGGGTTTCCTTTGTCTCTCCAGAAGTATTTCTACTTGTTGAAGGATAATGTCTTTTTTTATTTATTATTATCTGTGAATACTATCAATTTCCAAAAAGAGTGTTTCAACATAACTTGGTATGAGATCCTTAGTTTAACACTCAAATTAAGTCCATCTTATAACGAAATGAACTTTCTTTTAAATTAAAGAAGTGCCAAAGTTTAACCTAAACTAGACCTTTTAACGGGAGAAAAAATAATTGATGCATCCTGGGTTAGGCTTCTGGAACTGGAAATTTGCTTTTGTAAAAGGAAACACAACACTTTTTAGTCAGTAGGATTTTATGAAAATATTCAGAATATTTCTGGCAAAATAAATTTGGGAATTTTTTTCAAACATTATCTTGCTAAATGCATGTTAAAATTGTTGCTGTTATTGAAGATGATGTCGATATTTTTTACAGCAAAAAATAGGAGAGGATTGTAGGTACCAATTCTCTTAAGGCAATGCATTATTATTTCCTAGAATTGTGACAGATGCTAAGCAAATTTTTGCATGGAAGTTTGTGATATGTGACAAAAAAAAACATTCTTATAGCATTTTTATGTCCAGAAGATGATGGAATATGAACATGCTGTATTCTAAAACTTTAGGCCATATGATGTATCAATTATGAAGTTTTATTTCAACAAGTGATGTATTTCAATGTCTATTTTGTGATGGTACTCTGCTTGTCACTAGTGTAATTGATAAAAATTGATTATAGGTGAAGTTGAATCTCTCTAATATCTCTATATTGTTTAATTAATGTATAGTCATGATAAACAGTGTCTTTTTTTTCTTGTCACTAGTAGAGCTCTTTGTTATTTTACCTAGTTTTAAAGATTTAATTTTTTTTTATCATGGATTCTATTTATAGAAGGTTTTAAGTAGGCTCTTATCGGTTTGTGTCAAACTTCATTCTAGAATGAGAGTGCACTATTAGAGTTATGTTGATTTCAAAAATGTATGTTCAATGAATCTATTACACGACAATAAAACCACTTAGAAGATTTAACTTTAACTTATACTTATAGTTGAGTCAGTTAGCCTTGCAACTATTTTGTATGAAGTAGTTAGAATTAATTAGATGAATTCTATATGCTACTTGCACGAATAGGTATAGCTCACATGGAGATTAGATTACTTATATACTGTTTGTATACCTCATTTATGGTATCAGAGGCATGTTATCTATAAGTAATTCTAAATATGAGACAGAGTAGTTACTTGCAAGGCTAATTAATTAACTCAAATAACTTGAAATTTCTATAATTTGTTTTCCTATAAAAATGTAACATAAATTGTAATTTTTGACATTTCTCTAATTTGTTTTCCTATATTTAACAGAATCAAGATGACTAATGTTAGTTACTTGTCAACGTATGCAACATCCGAGAATACGGTTTCAACCCCTCCACCTACCGTCTCTAATGAAATGTCACCTCCTCACACTAAGAAGCGAAAGAATCACTCAGAGGCTTGGAATCATTTCATTATATTGTCAGAAGAAGAACAAAAAGCTTCGTGCAAGTACTGTGACACAAAAATCAAGTATAATAATGGAACTAGTTCCATGCATGCTCATTTGTCGAGATGCCTTGTTTACAAGAGACAAAGGACATCATCTTCTATGACAAGTGCTGAAGAACATGTTGGCTCTCTTTTAATTGTCAAGTTTGACCAAGAAGCTATTCGAAGAACAATGGTTAAGATGTTCATTAACATGGAGATTCCTTTTCGGAAGGTCGAACATGAGTCTTTTCATGAATTTATGAGTCTCGCTTCACCAAGATTTCAGGTTTGTTCGCGCACAACATTGGCACGTGATGTCTTGAAACTATGGGACACAGAAAGAATGATTTTGAAAAACTTTCTCTCTGAATTGACGAAGAGTTTGTCTCACCACTGATATGTGGACTTCTTGTCAAAAGTTAAGCTATATGTGTGTGACGGCCTATTTCATTGACAATAATTGAAACTTACTGAAGAAGATCTTAACTTTTTGTCAAGTCACAAGTCATACAGGGGATGTTATTTGTGAAACAATGGAGATGTGTTTGAACAGTTAGGGTTTAAACTGTGTGCTTAGTTTGACAGTTGATAATGCTTCATCTAATGATGTTGGGGTTGAACGTCTCAAGAGAAAGCTTTGTCTAAGAATAGTTTAATTATGAGCGGAAACCATTTTCATATGAGGTGCTGCGCACACATATTGAATTTAATTGTGAAAGAAGGTTTGAAAGACATTGATGATTCTGTTTGTAGAGTTCGTCATTCTGTTTGGTATGCTAGATCTTCTCCCGCGAGACTCGCTAAATTCAAGGCATGTATTGATGAGGAGAGCATGGACTATAAAGGTTTAGTTTCTCTAGATGTTGAGACTCGTTGGAATTCAACTTACTTGATGTTAGTATCCGCATCAAAACATGAAAGAACATATGAAGAATTAGGTTTTCGAAATAAAAGGTATGTGAATTAATTTTGCAATCATATACAACTAGTTAGTTATTCTATTATGATAGTTATAAAGGTCGTAAAAACTCTATATTAATAGAAGCTAACACAGTAACACTTTATTGTTGTTATCATGGCTATTCTAAAATTATACAAGTACATAATTTATCTTAGTGTAACAAGTAATAGCTACAACAGCTAAATTACATTGTCATAAGTTATAAAAGAGTTATTGAAGACAATATGTCAACCATGTATACTTCCTCTTCAAGCATTTAGTAAGAAACTTCACAGGACTAAACTATTTGACTTAATGAAAATTTATGTACTGTGCCTAACTATTTAGTGCAATACTATGCTTTAAGAAAGAATTTATATAAAGTTGAATTGATGTTGAACATTTTATGTTATGCTAGGTATGTGAATGAGTTGAAAAAAGGGAAAAGGTGTCCCGACGAAAGACGATCGGAAGCATATCAACTTAATTATTCCATTCTTGAAGTTGTTTTATGATGCTATTGTACATATATCAGGGTCTTCTTATTTGACAAGCAATATTAATATGTTTGAGGTCTTGGGAAGAGCATTGTGGATATGTGTGCGTGTAAAGATGAACATCTACGTTCAACAGCTCAAAACATGAAAAAGAAATATGATAAGTATTGGAGATCTCATGAGAAGCTTAACATGATGTTGTTGATTACTCTAGTTTTTGACCCTAGACGCAAGGTTAGATTGGATGGTACGACGATATTATAATAAGGTTGATAACTAAGTACATTTGCTATTCTTGACAGATTTGAGCATGAGTTGTAAGTAAATTTTTGGTAATCCACATGAGTTGTAAGTTTTTGGTAATGTTAGTCATCCATACGGAACTGCTGAGTTTTATCTTTCAGAAGGGGGTGAGATAATGAGTTAACCACTTATCTTGGAGAGAAGTTAGAGCATAACATGGAGATAAATGTTCTCAAGTGGTGGAAAGTAAATTTTGGTCGTTATCCCATCCTTGCAAACATTGCAGGAGACGTGCTTGCTATACCAATAAGCACAGTAGCGTCTGAAGCTACATTTAGCATAGGAGAAAGGGTGCTTGATCCATATCGCAGCTCATTAACACCGACAACTGTCGAAGCACTGATATGCATCCAGGATTGGCTCAAAGGAACATCTTCATCATGGATTTGTAATTAATGATGAAGATGTTCCTTTGAGCCAATCCTGGATGCATATCAGTGCTTCGACAGTTGTCGGTGTTAATGAGCTGCGATATGGATCGAGCACCCTTTCTCCTATGCTAAATGCAGCTTCAGGCTTCAGACGCCACTGTGCTTATTGGTATAGCAAGCACGTCTCTTGCAATGTTTGCAAGGATGGGATAACGACCAAAATTTACTTTCCACCACTTGCGAACATTTATCTCCATGTTATGCTCTAACTTCTCTCCAAGATAAGTGGTTAACTCATTATCTGTATTGTCACCCCTTCTGAAAGATAAAACTCAGCAGTTCCGTATGGATGACTAACATTACCAAAAACTTACAACTCATGTGGATTACCTTGAGCAAGGTATGATAACTAAGTACATTTGCTAATGTATTATTATTTATTATACTTGAGGCATAATGAAATGTATTTATATATTTTGTAGAGTTACTTTATACAGAAGATGGTGCTAGTTGTTCAACCTCTGTTGCACTCGAAGAGGACTTAACGATAAAGAATTCTAAAATTTTATATATGCATTTTCTTTCCACTCTTGAGCAACAGTTTCACTTATGTCAAAGAACTCACCGACTATTTCCCTTGTGTCAAATAATGAATTGTGGCTATGTTGTAAACTTGATGGAAAAGTTCAGACAATTGGGTTTTTGTCATCAGAGGGGAGAATCCTGGTGGAAAGATAGGAATGAAACGTCTGCCAGAAAATTGTGTTGCTAAAGGCAATCTTGAGAATCTGGCTCTTGATACCCCTATAAATTTACAATGTAACTTTAAGATTTTAAATCTTGTTAGTTTTATGAATTAGTGAAGGATGCTACACATTCGCTATGTAATCAACAAGTATTGTGCCAAAAAATTCACCAAGTATTTCACTTATGTCAAATAATGAATTGTGGCTCTGTTACCATAAATTTTGAGAAATTGTTTTACTATATCTTAAGGTCAAATCACAAATCATATGTTTTAAAATTGTCAATGATCATAAATTTTGAGAAATGATCAATTTTTTTTTAAATTTGTGTTTTTAACATAAAATAATTTTAGAACTTTTTAAAATAAAAAACTATTTTTGATATAAAACTTTGTTTTTTTAAATTGGTTTTAAAACTGATTTTTTTTATAAAATTGGTTTTGAAACTGGTTTTTTATAAAACTGGTTTTGAAATTGATTTTTTAAAGAAAATTAAAAATTGATTTTTAGAAAAACCGATTTAAAACTGGTTTTTGTGAGAAACCGGTTCAAAACTGAACCGATCCACATGTAAACCAGTTTTAAAAATATAAGCCGGTTTTAATGAAGTAGTTTTAAGATCCAAACCAAACCATATATATGATTCAGTTTGGTTTGGTTATTGATCGATGCACACCCCTACCATCTAACATTGAAGATTGTAAGGGCTTGCTCTCCTTTTTGGCCTTTCATCCGTTTCTTGTGCACCAAGAGACCAGTCAATAGATGCGGTGGTTACATTGCTCCACTCCTCAAAAGAACATACCCCATAATCAAATCTTGCAGTCATAGACCTGAGGATTGTTTAGACAATCATACGTTGCTCCATCTTCATATCATGAAACTTCATCCTGTTCACAATTGCAAGGGTTCTTGCAAAAAACAATCATCAACAGTTTCCCATTCCTTCACTCCAAGAATTTCATGTTCCCTCTTTAGGGCTTGCAACCGAGCGCCTTTAACATTTGTAGAACTTTGATGTTTCTACCCCTAGCTTGAAATAGATACATTTTCACCTTCAGATCTATTAACTTGCTCTCTTAGACAATCTTGGCCGATTTTTGAGTTGCTATGGCTGGGAGAAACAGAATCCTAGTTTCCACCACGTTCCAATACTCCTTCAATCAAAGGAGATTCTCCATAAGAGTTTCCTACTACCCATAGTGACCATCAGACCATGGGATTGCAGGAAGTAGCTCCCATCAGCCATGAATTTCTATAGTTTCTTGTTTTCTTTCATTCACATAGAAGAAACTACAATTTTCTACGAGGCACTAAACCAGACACGAATCTTGGACACGACATTGACACTCCAACACTGGTAATATTTTTAAAAATGAACGAATTGAATATAGTCAAATGTGTCTGAGTCAAGTCAGTGTCCAACACAACACATGTTGGACACCAAACACATCTTACATCATAAGTGTAACTTATAGATATAGACAATTTGATACCAGCCGTGAGGAAATTTGGAAAATCGATTCTACACCTCTAGAGTTGCTTTTGGCTCTTCCAAAATCCAAACCAAACATACCTCTAGAATCAATTCTTTTCACTGAAGAACCACACACTAGTGTATGTTTGGTTTCCCGTTTGGAACACCCAAAATTGATTATGAATGTGTAGAATTGATTTTGTACGTGTAGAATTGATTTAACATGTTTGGTTGCTCTCAGGTAGAATTGATTTTGCTTTCTAAAATTCATTCTACTAGAAGCTAGGATTTGTAGCTGCTAGGATTTGTAGCTGTTGACTTTAAACGTGATTTTCACAATGAACTTCACGGTCCAACTCACTTTTGCAATAATTTATCCAAACATAAATCACTATACATTCAACTCACTTTTAATCAGAATCACTTTTATGGAATAATCAATTTTCTTCACCGCAAAACCAAGGAATCATAAAAACTTGCCTGGCCTCTTTTGCAATTGAAATAGGTTTCCCTGAGTCCTACACACTCACTTGATATTGATGGACACTTTTCTCCAGCACACTCCCTGTAGGATCTATTCTCAACCTATTTACCAACAACACATAATCATAATTCATTAAACATAAAAAACAATCAAAACCAAACATTGCAGAAATCACACTAACATCACAAAAATAGTTCAAAAAACCGAACCTTAACACAATCAGATTCACTGAGACACTTCACCAGCTCCATGGCCAATCCCTTGCAAGATTTGGCCATCGTCCTTTACCTATCTTAAAAATGAGAATCACAAATCAACCTCAATAATCAAAATCGAAAAGAAAAAAAAAACAAAAGCGAAATTGAATACTAACATGAAGAAAGATTGAACCTTGAATCGCTTTTTTTCACACAAAGGATTAAACTTTCCTCTGTGTACTTTATTTTACAGAAGCGATTCTGGAAAAGCCCTTACGGTTGTTCTAAAGTGATTTGTTCTGAGGACGTTTTCGACCCGACCCGGTTTAAATCTTTTTGGAATTAATTTTTTTAATAGAGTTAGTTTATCAGTTCCAATTCATTTATTTAACCAATTAATTTAATTTCATAATTTAGAATAACGATTTACTTGTGAAACTTTGTTTATATTAAATTAAATATCTAATTAGAACGACTTTTAGTATTTAAGCTAAAAAATATGCCAATGGTTTATTTTATTTTTCTTTAAAAAGTATTTGTATAAACTTTTAAACAATTTATAATTATGTGTCGAATTTTAGTGTGATGATTATAAAAAATTTAAAATATTGTGAAGGATCTAATTAAAAATTAAAGTTATTTAAGTGTATACTAAACTAATTTTAAAGTTTTAAAAAAATATATATAAATTAGACAATTTCTTTAAGATTCAGTTTAAGAGTTTGAAGAGAAAAAAATATAGAAGACTTTATGTATTATTTAGTCTCTTAATTTAATTTCAAGTTTCACTTTAATTTCTTATTTAATAAATGTTCGTTTCAAGTCCCTTAAGTGTATTTCAGTTAGCCACTTTGATATTATCTGATAAATTTTGTAAACTTTCATTAGTTTATGCATGCGTGACACTTTAGTTGGACGTTTATTATATGACATTGAATTATTATATTACATATTGATTTAAGTTTGTAAAATTAAAATTAATGCAAGCTAAAAATTTTCATTATTTCATTTTTCACTCACTCTTCTAGAAAGAAACCCTATAACTCAGATGAAACAAAAGCTTCAAAGAAGACGAAGCTTCATTACGGAGAGGAAGAAGAAAAACTTCATTCATCTTAAAATCATAAGTATGAATACAAACTTCATTGATTTCTTACTTCAAAATGGAAGCTTCACTACGATTAGTTTGTTACTTTAAAATGCAAGCTTTTTAGGTTTCGTACCATCTTCCTTACTGATATTTCTCATTCAGGTAGCTTATTTGGGTAATCGAAGCTTTTTTATCTAGAATATGGAGTGGAAGGAGAACTTCATTCATCTACAATCATAAGATACAAATAGTCATAACTTTGTTACTAAAAATGCAAACTTTTTAGGTTTTGGCGTCTTTGTTATTGTTATTTCTCATTTGGGTAGTTTGTTTAGGTCATGGATAGTCGTTTTCAATGCATTGTGCATCATGGTGTGAGTGTACCAAGTTCACAAAATTAGGTTATAAAGGGTTATAAGAAACTTGGGATGTTGATCCTGATTTTTGGAGTTATTTTTGAAGTTTTGAGTGCTTTAAAGGATTTAGGTTATCCGAGTGTAGATAGTCTTTGGTATTACGATCGAATGGAGTTTAATAGCATGGTTTTGTTGAAATATGACAATGGAACTAGGAGGATGAAGATAATTATAGTGTTGATTGGGACAGTGCATTTATATGTTATTCATCCTATATTACAATCCGACATCATTGAGGAACTAATACTCTCACTAGAATACAATGTTGAAGAAGGTATCGCTGACACTGAATTAGGAAAGAATAATGATGATGGGACCAGTGAAGTTGAGAATGTTGTGGATGAATGAGACATTTTGGATAAGGGAACCACTAAAGTTGAGAATGTTGCGGATGAAAGAGGCATTTTGGATAAGGGGAACACAATGGTTGATGAGGGGACCATAATGGTTGATGAGGGGACAACGATGGTGGATGAAACTGTTGATGAGGGACTAAACTGGAACATAAAGGAAGATGAGGGACTAGGTGAGGGGAGTAATGTGGTTGATGAAGGACTGAACTGTAACTCTGTTGAAGATGAAGGACTAAAAGGTGGTGGAAATGAAATGGATTTGGAAGAGGAAAAGACAGTAGTTGAAGAGGGACTAGATGGTGGCAGTGAAGATAGTGCATTGGAGATTAATTTTGAAGATTCTGATGATGATGTGAGTATGAATGAAGACATGGCAATTCCTAAAATGAGGTTTTTGAAAATGATGTGGTTGAGAAGCAAGGGACTGAAAAGGGGAAGAAAAAGGGGAAGGGTAAAGGTAAAGGGAAGGGTAAAGGTAAAGGGAAAGGGAATGGTAAGGGTAAATGTAAGGGGAATGGGAGAGGAAAGGTAAAGATGGGCATATAATAAAAATAAAGGATAAAGTGAATTATTAGTGATTAGTGGTTAGTTAGATTATCATCTTGAAACTTGTATTTGGAACTCATTAGAGGATTGGTGGAAACAAAGCCTCCACACAACAAATTTCATTTGCTTTTTGTCAAGTATGTCATCCATTTAGAATCCTCATGAGTACCATTTAATGATCAACAATGTTTAAGTGATATGCGTTGACCAAAGGTGTTGTAGATCCATTAGAGGATTGGTAGAACCAAAGCCTCCACACAATGAATCTCAAGGTTATTGGATCAAAGAGATCAAATTAACATACTTGGGCTTGCAAACATAAGTTTGGGCCACAAATGATCATTTATTCGAATCAGGACAAAATTTAGCGCTATGTTGAGCAATCGTAAGTGGACTTATATAGAAGTCGCACCTATTTTGAGGTTGATCAATAGCAATCTATGCACCATTTGTTTTAAGACATGATATATAGATCATGCTCCAATAACACTTAGTGCAATAAGAAAGAGATGAGATGAAGAGGAGTGGGAGAGAATACACAAACCACTTTTGAATTAAATTTAATCAAACTGTTATTAAAATCATTCATCTATTTTTGTGGAGTTAGACTCAACACCATGGATCCAATGATGTTAATAAAGTTCATGATCAAAAATTTAACCCAAGATCAACTAGAAAATAGTCACAAAATAATATTACATTTAATATATACAAAAAAAGGTTTTAAAAAAATGTTTTAAAATAGAAATAAAAGAGAAAAATATCAACTATGTTCAAATTGACTAAGAAATAAAAAGTAAGTCCATAGAAAAATCAGAAAAGGACTCAAATGATCTTATAAATTTTTTGGTAATTTTTTTAAGTCATAAACTATTTTTAAAATTAAAAGAAATGAGTAAAATAAAATAAAAATGATTAAAAAAATACCAAAGTCAGAAATAAAAAATAAGTGAGGTCACCAATATTTGTCACAATATCATTGGATCATTCCATAATTTTTTCAGAATTTCAAAATGCATAAAAATATTTTTAAACATTTAAAACAATTCAAATAAAATGAAAATTTATAACAAATACCAAAACACAAAATTAAATTGTGAAAAATAAAAATCAGAAAGAGAATAATCGAAAATATTTTTCAGAATTTTTTCAGAATTTTTGAACTAAAAATGGATTTTCTATAATTTTTTGAATTTTTTAAAACAATTAAATATAAAAATTAGAAAAGAAAATAAAAGTCAAAAAAATGTGGACCATTGGATGAGAGTCAAAGCGCGTTAGTAATCAGATCCAAGGGATCTGACGCGCTGTGCATATCATGGTCATTAGTGAATAAAGCACTGAATCAAATGTAAATCAGAAATTCAAAAAAATCCAAATGGCGTTGTTCCATTGGTTGAAGGATGACACGTTGGTCATCTCCAACCTCCAGCCAGTCCCAAAACCAGGTTGCTCAATCTGTAAAATTAGAACACGAGACCTATTCCATTCATTTCGTCTCTTCAAGACGAAGACAACCACACCCTCGCGACAAATTTATATAAAATGTAGCTCAAGCAATTTGGAAGGAAAGTTTTGAAAAGGGATTTGAAATTTCATGGTCAAAACGTGTTTCCAGTAAAAGACAAGTGTTGCGACTAGAACCAGGGCAATGAGAACATCACAATGATATCAAAGTTTTGAAGAATTGATGAAGGAATCTACCTATTAAAGTTGAGTTGCAGAGCTCTGAAACATGACTTCTATGGAGCAATATAGGGCACGGTTCTTGAATGTAATTATATGGTTAGTTTCAGAGAAGACCAAGGAAGGTGAATTGATGGAAAAATTGGATTGAAAAAGGCTTGAGAATGGATTTCAAAGTTGCTGAATTTTGAGTTATGGAACAAGTTTGGCAGGGTGATTCTGGTTATCCAAGCTTGAGGAAATGAATGGGGGATGACCCTCTATTTGTAGGGAATCAAATGGAATGTCCAAGCGTGTGAAATGATGAAGTTTGGAGGGAAATCGTGTGAAGTTGCAAACAAGAAAAGTGTGACTTCTAATTTGATCAAAACTCATCCAAAACGCGCGTTCTGCTATGCTAATCACTTCTGGAACTTCATTAAACATGTTTAGAGGCATAAACACGCAGAAACAAAGTGTTTAGAATCCAAATCAAGGATTTCAAACTTATGACTTGGTGAAAAATTCAGTTTCAAATTGCCAACTTCTGAGTAATGGCATTCTCAGCTCAAGGGGTCTTAGGGCATGATTCTTGATGCTTTAGAAAGATGAGGTTACAATATTTGCAATGGAAAAAGAATGGGATAAAATGGATGCTTGAGCTGAAAGTTGCATTGAGTCAAAGTTGGAGAAAAAGGGTTGACTTTCCATAATTAGAAATATTTCAAAATTTTCTTCAAAAGTGACCTATAATGTCTTGCATCCAAACATGGCCTTCCTATTGGAATTTTCTCTTGACCAAAAAAGATGGCATGAAATAGACCTCTTGAATGATATTTTGGGACTTGAACCATTCAAAATCTCCAAAAATTGAGAGAGAGATGAATTGTTGAAGTTGGCAAAAAATCATGAAATGACCTATAATTTTTGGTATCCTTAAGGCAACTTCCATCCATTTTATCACTTTGCACATAAAAGAAGGCATAAACTTCACATCCTCAAGATCATTGCGGAAAAAGAATGGGATCAAGGTGATAAAAATTGACCAAGTTATGATTATTTGAAGTCACACATGAAAATTTGGGGATTTATCTGGAGGACTTGTAATCTTTCTTCTTCATCAAGTTTCTTCCACGTGAAAACTCCTTGGAACTTTTGAAGTGATTTATTGTTAACCCTTTGAAGAGAATGATGTATTTGGAATCACTCAAAAATACAAAAATATGAGCAAGATATACTCATTTGAAGTTCAAAACCCTAGCTCCTAGATCAAGAAACATGCCTTGAGAAACTTTGACAATTTTGAACAAACTTCTTATACCAACACAAATGCTTTGTAAATATAAGTTGTTGAGGATGATAATGAGAACCCATAGCAACCACAACCACTTCCATATCTTGAGAATTGATAGAAATATGCATTTGTGACCAATGGGAACAAAGCCTTGTCCAAGCATGCCAACTTTTCCAATCAATCCCTTGTGCTTTTGAACCAAATTTGATAACCTTGAAATATGGTGAACCAAAATAACCTTGCCATGCCATTACTTCAAAAACAAATGCAATGGTGAGGTTTGAACTTCTCAAGATTTATTGACTAGGGCATGAAAATAAACTCATGAACCCATGGAGCAACTTGTTAAATCTCATTGCCTTTACCTATATTAGTAACAAGCAAGACAAACCAACATTGCATTTTATTAATTAAGGGGAGAAATCAAGACAAGAATATTCATGACCACAAAAGAACACAAGTCAAGGTGCTTGGTGATTTCTCAAAGAGCAAAGCTAAATATAGGGAGGGGAACCAAGAATCCTAATGTGATCTTATTGTGAATGAATCAACATGGTATGATAAAGGGATCTTAGGGGCAAATATTGGGGTACAACAGCATGCAGCGGAACAAACAATAACTCCTCAACATCCTTCAGGTGCCACATATCACCATAATCTAAGTGACAAAAAAACCAAACGAGTTTGAAAATAAATCAAACCTAACACAGTAGCTCACCACCAAGCTACAACATCGGACAAGTCTAACTCATACCCTTCCAAGAACAGTCCATCATCTACTTCTAAGGACCATTCAAACAACAATATGAACTGTCAAAGTTCAAACCTTGCCCATGACTAGAAAGTAGCATCCCGGGATCTCACCCAAAATAGAATAGGATGCCTTCTCTGATACCAATTAAAATTCAGGTATATTAGACTTCAAATGACCTATGACATGTTGAGACATCTGATCTGACTTGAACAACACAGGTGTTCTGGACTAGCCCAATGACTAAGATTGGCCCAATCCGCTTCTACCCTTGGCACGACCCAATAACAGTGGCCCAACATCATGGTCGATAACACCCCTGGACGCGCGACCAGTGATGCCTGACATGCACGATTGACCCAGTCAGCAATTATCTCCCTGTCAGTCCGACACGAGTTAAGCAGGTAACCAAGAAACATCCAGAACAGCCATTTACCCGTAATCTTCCTCCTCCTCGGAACCAACGGCTAGTTATGAGCCCGCCTGCCTATTTTGACTGAGTCCTGACAGTTATCTATTTTTACGGACCCGCGTATCTAGGCCTTAAAATCGGGACCAATGGCCAAGCACTAGGGGCCTTATATAAACCCTCACACATGTGAGGGCCAGGTATTCACAATCTGATACCTTAAACCCTAATATTTTGCTTGTATCTCTTTACTCCCACACTTACTTGATCATCAGAGTGACTTGCAAGTACAAACCTTTTTTTCTCCTCAAGTTTCCAGCCAGTCAAAGATCATATTTCGACCCACTTGCAGGTTCTAATCAACTGGTAAGATCAATGGCGTCGTCTGTGGGAAATTATCTTCCCCGTTTTCTGTCCCCGAAATATGACAACCAAAGATCCTTTTCATTCATCAAACATGGCCGACCATGATGATCACCATCTATGTGGAAAGAACGTGCTCTCTCTGGTGTACAAGACCGATGAAAGCCAGGAACATCCTTATCTCAAAGATGGCTTCGATGTTCAAGACTGAACATTGTGTCCCCTGATTTAATTGATGTTGAACGTGACAATGAGCAGTTGTTGGAAGAACAACACCCCAAGAACCCTGTCGAAGACCTGTCAGAGATTGTGCAACCGGTCCCTGTTCTGCAGAACACCGACCTGGCCATAGTAGAACTAATCACTGCCATTAACTAGACCAACACCCTCATCCTCCAACAGAGTGAAAGGATGGGGGCTTGGGAGCAGAAACGGTCAAGATCTCCTCCTCGGAGACACCGACGACATGACTCCCTTAGTATATCACCACCTAGGCGTGGCCAT